CCACGGTCATACCCGCGGCGACCCCGACCGAGGGGAAGTCATAGCCTCAGATAGACTTCCTCTATCCAGTCAGTCACTTGATCGGCTGTCTTCCTTTTCAGAGTCTTTGCCTCAATATATCTTGAAAAATTATTCCTCATATTGAGTATGTTATCTCATATCACCCTTGCCTTAGGGCAAGGTGATGAGATCCAAATGGACTCGACTGCCTGGCTCCACCTGAACAGTAGGAAACAAAGACTTAATCATCCTTGTTGTAGACCTCTTCTTACATAACACACATGAATTACAGAATCTGTAAATCACGTCTCTGGTGTTAGGCCAGAAGTAAATTTTTACTGTCTTTAAGTTAGAATAGGTTGCTTAAGCAACTCTATAGTCACCAACAACTCCCTTGTGTAAAGCAGCAATTTATGTCAGTTGTCTTTCTTTTCCACAGACCACTCTTAATGGAGGCAATCCTCCCTTGCCATCCACGAAGAGGTGACCTCTTTTTAGCATGAACTTTTTCTTCGAGTCTTTGCAGTAACAATCCTTTAGCTGTTCTTTTTCCATCTTCTTCCTAATCTCTTAGTAACATTCATCATACTCCTTAAGAATGAAATAAATCTCTTATTCTTTCTTTTCGGTTTTTTCCTCATTCTTTGACCGAGAATTTCCCCCCATCTTATGGGCAGCTACGGCTACTGCATTAATTTTTGCATACCAATCGTTTTTTTCTTCCTCTTATTCCTTTTCAAAAACTAATTCATAGACATAGGTATAAGGGATTTCTCCCCAGTTGTCTCTTTCTTCAGGTTATAAGCTCCACTTATAGGAATTTGGAGCTTTGTAATCTTCATCATCTTCCTCATTAAGGAAGTTATCTACATAGGCGGACTCATCAATTGTCCCATCAACGTTCTCATCTTCTTCTTTTCTCTATTCAATTCTGCTTAGGCCATCTGTCCGATTCTTCTCAGTAGAAATTTTTACCAGTTTGAAATCAAAACTTCAAATGAAGGCAATCCACCTGCTTACTGTTGGATCCACATGTTGATGCTTCTTAATACCACCAATCACAGTAGATGCATCAGTTCGCAGGATGAATCTCCTTCCCAGCATATAGTGCCTGAAGCACATTAGACAATGGACGATTGTCAGTAACTTTTTTCTAAACTGGGTGTAGTCTCTTTCTATAGAATTAAGAGTTATACTCTCAAATCTCAAAAGTCTCTCCTTTCCATTCCCATCTTTCTGAATAAGTACACCACCAAGAGCTACTGGTCCTCCATCTACCACGATGATGAAGGGACTTTCCTCCTCGTCATTATAAAATGGCACCCCCAACACTAGTCCTTCATCTTTTAATTTTTATTGTAAAGTTTTTGCAGCCATCTGTATTTTCTCAGTCCAAGATAAGTCAGCCCCTGTCTCACCATCTCCCTTATAGGCTCTGCAAGGGTAGCAAAATGAGCAATGAAAATTCTTCAGAACCCACATACACCCAAAAAGTTTCTGACGTCTGTCACCCGCTTTAGACGACGAGGTCAGTTCAAAATTTTGTATATCTTATTGGGATCAGGGCTCCTACCCTTCGAGAAACATCTAAAGCCTATGATATTTTTTTCTACTTGAAAGACAACGGCCTTTGGCCCACTGGCAGTCAGGTTATATTTCTGAAGTCTCTCTAGGACCATCTTCACCCCTTCCTTATGTTCCAAGACAAATTTCCTGACCCCATCAGCAACCAAAATCTCATCTCTTACTATAGGTCCTTTCACAGGATTATCATCAATATAAGGGTTGGTTATCTCAAGCGAGGAGAGATGGTTAAAAGAGGCTATATAGTTCACCGACTTTATATCGAAAACAATCTTATATATGGTATACCGAAGGCAAACTCACCAATTTCATCAAAATAAACTTTTTTGTTTGACTTATTTAATTTTCTATCATGCAGTACATCATATCGCGAGGTGCTTTCGGTGTTCCGATACCGAAAATGCACTTCGGGATTTCGGTGTTTAATACATCATATCCTGTAGTGCTTTCGGTGTTTCGGTACCGAAAACTCACTTCGGGATTTCGGTGTTTAACTTAGTCGATTTTCTTTATCAACTACATCATGTCCCGAAGTGCTTTCGATGTTTCAGTACCGAAAACGCACTTCGGGATTTCGGTGTTTAATACATCAATCCCGTAGTGCTTTCGGTGTTTCGGTACCGAGAACGCACTTCGGGATTTCGGTGTTTAACTTAGTCGATTTTATTTATCAACTACATCATATCCCGAAGTGGTTTCAGTGTTTCGGTACCGAAAATGCACTTCGGGATTTCGGTGTTTAACTTAGTCGATTTTCTATTATCTACTGGATCATGTTTCGAAATATTTCCGGCGTTTTGGTGTTTCGGTACCGAAAACGCACTTCGACATTTCGGTGTTTAATACATCATATCCCGTAGTGCTTTCGGTGTTTCGGTACCGAAAATGCACTTCAGGATTTTGTGTTTAACTTAGTCGATTTTCTATTATCTACTACATCATGTCCCGAAGTGTTTTCGGTGTTTCGGTACCGAAAACGCACTTCGGGATTTCGGTATATAATACATCATATCCCGTAGTGCTTTTGGTGCTTAAGTATAGAAAACGCACTTCGGGATTTCGGTGTTTAACTTAGTCGATTTTCTTTATCAACTACATCATATCCCGAAGTACTTTCGGTGTTTCGAAACCGAAAACGCACTTCGGTGTCGAGCGCATCGTCCCTCGAGGGAACGAGGGCGCTCCCGGTCATGTCACGCAGAAGTAAAAGAAAACACAACAAGAGACAACTTAGGAACGACGCAACATATCCCACGATCCGTTGAGACGGTCGTGGTCGCGTCGTCCCTTCGCCGCTTTAGCCGGGTGCGCCAGCTGTACATCCCACGGTCCCATACGACAGGATAGGTTCTCGCGGGGCATAGGCTTACCCTTCCTAAGGGGCTGTCACCACCCTTAGCGGTGTATCCCTACCGAGCTACTGACCCACATGCGAAAGCTTTTACCTGCAGTTGTAAAGGTAGATCAACCGAGGGCGTTTGCTCGTCTCGCTGCAGCATAGGAAACGCTTGGTTAACGCCAAACGGACCCAACGCCATCCATCCCCCAGGACGTTGATCTCCTAAGTTCGGAACGTGCTTTGGTCGACTAGGACGGTCTTGACCAAGCGTGAAACCCAACATTAATCCCAGTCCCTTTAACACATAGTCAAGCGAGAGTTACGACAACCACATATATAATTATATCAAAAGGAGTCGACCGTAGTCGACACGAATAAACGTTCAATCTGAAATGATAACTAAAAGAAATCGAATCATCTTATGAAACAATACAATATCAAAATAAACCCCGACCACCTCGGGTCGAACTCCACAAAACAATCATACAACCGCCAACAAGAAGTTGGCTATCGACAATAATATAGATGCAGTCGACAAGGTAGTCGGCTGCCTTCGTCTTGACTTGATGAGACACGTTGCCAAAGTCTTTCATTCCAGCCTACTGTCGACCTGAAACTCGACGCACATACATGCCTTCATCCGTTTCCAATCTTTTTGGATGACAAGTTACTTTGCGATTGATTCTTGATCAGGGGCATTGCTTGACGTGTTGCATGCCTCTTCCTCTAGGAAGTGGCCCCTCCTCGTCCGAGCACAAAACTCGGATCTCAGAAGTCGGACCGTCTCCATCGAATCGGCAAGTACCCCCCGTAGAACGGTCCACTCCGAGTCGATAACAGGGCCGACTCCTGAAGCAACGAACCCCCGCCCCAGATGCTTCCTACAGATAGCGGATACGTCCACTGCAAATAGATTTCATTTGTTTTTTTCCCTCATAACTTCCTAGAGATAGCGGATGCATCGGGCATATGAGATGGGCACCTTACCAACAGGAGAATTGCCCTTTCTTTTATCACTGAAAATGGAACTCCGCTGTCGCAGGTTCCCCGACTGCTTTTTAGACAAGGCCCTGCAGAATTTCAATTTTAAAATTGCGGGGATTTGAGACCCTTGGGTCAAGTGCCTTACCGGATGGGTTTAGTGATTGCATGGACAGGCCAGAATGGGACCCTCCTTATTTGTCGTAGTTCTCCAGAAAATCTTTTGAAATACCTTCAGATAATACTTTGGCGGGAATGTTTTTTTCATCAGAAGTTGCTAGAAGCTCACGTCTTACTATATAGGAAGTAGTTTTTCTATTCTTTCTTCACCGTGCGCTTTCATCCCTGAGGATGACCGACACTGGCGAGTCGGTCGAAACACGTGTCGGGAGTCATCGCCAGCGTGCTCATTGTTTACAGCGCTCTGCGCCAACTTTATGTGTGCTTCATTCGTATCTTATGCGCTTTAATTGCGCTCGGGGGATATTCTTCATCTTATCTGGTCTTCTTTCGTCTTGTCTTTTATGCATGTTACAGACCCAGGTCAGTCTGCTTGTGTTGCTCTGATGATCTATCACTGTGGCGCTCACGTACAAACCGGCGGGGGGATGTTCACCTCGACCGTGTGACGACGCCCTCTCGCCTCTACCTCTCTTTTTACGTTTTTTCGGCTTTTCGTCTCTTCGTCATTTCTCATTTTGATTATCGCACTACGGTTGATTAACGGTCTAGGGCTCTATTGCTCGATCTACTGTTGGGACGTTATAGTCTCATCGAGTGTTCTATCTTTGTCAAGATGTACGGGCCAAGAGTATGCCATCATTGCCGTCTTCCGGGCCACTTTGTTCGTGATTGCCAACTTCGAGGGATTCCAAATGCCGCGGAATTAGTGGCCGTGAATAATGGAGCTTCCTCTTCCGGCGGGCTGCTACCTGCTCCAGACGCATCGATATCTACCGCTATCGTTCCTACCAAGGAGGTGCGAACCAGCAGAGTGGCGGCTAGGGATCTGGGAATTATAGCTACGGTCGAGGTAGCTACTATTCGCAAGGCTACCAACGATATTCAAAGCCATGGAATGGCCAATATAGGGATCGCGATAATGAAAAGTTCGAAAAGTTGTATGGGCTATTGTATGAGCAAGTGGAAGAGCGGGATGCAAAGAAGAAGGAAGCCATGCTAGCTCAGAAAGCGGAGGAAGACAAGGCGAAATCCTTGGCGGAACAAAAGGAGAAGGAGAAACATGAGTTGGCTATGGCCCGTCTGGTGAGAGAGAACGTGAAGATTGTTTGTGAAAAGGCTTTGGGGAAGAAGATTGACTTACCGGAAGATGGGGAGTCCGAGGTGGTACAGCTGAGAAGGGAACTGGAGGCACTTAAGGCTCGGAGCCTTGAACCTGCTAAGGAGAGTGAGTTGGAAAGGTTGAAGAAGAAACGGGAGATATTGCTACCTAAACAAGAGGAAAAACGACTAAGGAAGGAGGTTGATGATTTACGGAAAGGAGGAAAGCAGACCGCTTCGAGTGGAATCTCGAATGAGAAAGAGCAGCAAGAGATTGCCGATCTGAAGAAACAGATTGGGGATCTGAAGGTGATCCAATTTGCACTTGAAGAGAAAAATAATGAAGTGGCGATACTACGAGAGGAGAATTTGCATTTAAGAGACCTGAAAGATGAGGTGTGTGTGGCGAGGCTGAGTAAAAGACCTTCTGATGTTGTGACACAAAAGAGCCCTCCGGAGGAACCGGCGATGGGCAAGGCTAAGGTGACTGATAGCAGCACAGCAATGTACACACCTAAAGACATGGAGGCGCTCAGAAAAGCGTACAAGGATGCGCTCGTCAGCAAGCAGTGGGTGCAAGAGGAGGTGCGGATGCTCAAGGAGAGGTATGCGAGAAAATCAGCAGCCAGGCTGAGGCGTATGCCTACGATGCGGAAGGCAACGCTGCGAAATCTGAAGAAAAGCTTGAAGAAAGCGGCCACGGAGGAGATCACGACGGACAAGGAGGATTCCAAACAGGAGGAGGAAGAAGGAGAAACCCTGACGAGGAAGGGGCCGTCTACGAAGTAGGCGGATAAGCATGCCAGCGATCGATACAGAAAGGTGCTGGCCGCAAAGAATAAGGAGTTGAAACCACTCAAGAAAGCTAATGTCGTTCAATTGTGTGACCAGGCAGGTATAAGCTATATCACGCTCACCCAAGCCAAGACCTCCTTGGCTGAGATCCAAACACGGATTGAGCTGGGCATTATAGAGGATCCGAACCTGGCCACGCAAAAAGGTGATCAACCACAGGAGGTCAATGATGACGAGGCGGAGGATCAGTATGCTACCTCCACGGAAGATGCCGAGAAGTAGGGAGGCGCCCCGAGTACAATTCATTTATGGGATTCTGCGTTGCGCCTTCGGGATGGTCGATCCAGCTTCTTTCAAGGTTGGTAAACGCTAGAATATGCTTTTAGGTTGATTGTGTTTCTTTTAATTATTTGCCGTCAGATTAGATGGTGTCTGAAATTTAGGAATCTCCTTTGTGACTTAATCTTTGCAGGATACGATTTCAAGAGGTGTCCGGGTTCGGTTGTCTATGTGATTGTTTCTCCGTGGTTCAAGCATGTCTACATCGGTTGCACTAGTAGATTATTGTCAATACGTTGGCAGAAACACATCCACTGTACATTGGGTAGTCTCGATCGTAGGAATCGTCGATTGTATAGATGGCTATCTCGTTGTGGTCTCGGCTGCTATGTTGCTATACCTATTTATGCTCCACCTACTGATGATCTGCTTGCTTGCGAAAAATTCTTCATCTGCCTGTTCTGCCCTTCACTTAATTCTGTATCGCGACATAATAATAACAAAAAGTCTAAGGGTCGACCTGGTAGGAAGGAACGTAGGAAGCAAAAACGTCATTATTCTGCTAATCATCTGTCTTCCTATGGGCCTTCATTCTCCACTGTAGTCTTTTCCCAACCCAACGACTCACGGTCTCTAAGCCTTCGATCTATTATTCGTTCGGTTTCTTCCCCCAATATACCCTTCACCATTCTTTGCTCATCTGGTTGCTTTCTAGCGGAAAAATGGAAGCTCATCCGCCGAGAATTTGGGTTCTCTATTGTATCTTCTCCTGGTCTTTCATCTTCCTTGCTAAAGAACTATAGGGCTTGGTTTCAAAAAGGCGTGAGTGTCACCTTCATATCTGTCAAAAGACTCCTCTCTCGATCATTACCCATCAAGAATACTCTCATCAAACTTCTTAGCACTCCTACCTCACGAAAGGAATTAAGAGTCTGGGACTTGGATCTTTTTATCAGGGCCTATAGCGTTGTACGCTCCTTTTCACTCAAGCGATCTTGTTCCTCCTTGAAACTGATTCTCTCGCATGCCTTTCGTCGGAAGTTCGGTCTCAATCTCTCTGGCAAGCTTGTAATAAGGATTAGGTTTGATGAATCCCTATCCCTGGACGGTCTCAGAAGTCTGTGTAGTAGTCTCGTGCTTGGACTCAATTTTCCTGCTTCATATCTTGCATATATTAGTAAACATCTCCTCATTGTAATTACCCGTAATCTATCCGTTGCTGACGTACTACATAATTACAGATACTACTCTCGTGACCCTTCTCCAAAATGCACATGTGAGAATAATGACGCCTTGTACCCCAGATGTGAAGGGCATGTATCATTCAGGGTCAGTGAAGTCGATTTTCTTCCTCAGTCAATCGTCAACTCCAAAAACATCATTCTCTTTCGCTATCCATCACACCCCTAGGCTCTGGTTAGTCAGATATATCAGTCATTTAGCCGCTTCTTTGGTTCTAAAATAAGAGGGCGTCCTGACCTTAGTGTTCGGGTTTGTTTTTCCGAAAGACCTGCTGCTACTACTACTATTTCCATTGATTAGGTAGAAGATTGGAAAGTTAGGATAGAAGGTTTGGTTGCATGCGCTATTGACCACAATACCGGGGATACTCTTTTTTGTTGTCCCTTGATTTATGCGGATGCCATGCGTAAATTGTTTACGAATAATCCGGGTTTGGTTAGGCTGCAAGAGAACGAGTCTTCTGTGCTGGAAAATGCTAAGAAGGAGTACGCTGCAAAGAAGTTAAACTTAGTTGCACCATGGAATGGTAAGGAATCTCTCGGCAGGGCGTACGTCCTACCCAAACATAAGGATATTAACAGATGGCGACCGATATGTCTGGCAACCAAAGAACCGTCACGAAGAACCTCTAAGCTCGCCTCTGCATGCATTAATGAGATGTTAAGACGTCTACCGCAGTCTTTACACTTTAATCTTAGAAATACAAATTGTCTGAAATTCTTTCTGGAGATGGTGAATAAGAGCGTCGGTGACGACGAGGATTTGATTTGTGGAAGTTTTGACGTCAAAGAAATGTTCTGCCAGTTACCACACTCCGCTATTATTGCTGTTGTAGAATGGGTAATCAGTGTTTACGAATCTAAAGGGTTCTTTAAGTGTCTAATTAAGAATAAAGGAAAGGAGGTACGGTTTTCTAGTATTTCTTCAGGTGCGGTAGGGTGAAAATCAGTTAGGTTCTCTAAATTGATGAGTTTTATTGTTTTTGATTTGGAACATACATACACTATGGTCGTGGGTACAGTTATGAAGCAAATTCTGGGTATCCCTATGGGAAAACCCTCTAGTCCTGCCTTAGCATGCTTAATGTGTGCGCATAATGAGAATGCTTTCTTGTGTAGCTTGGGTAATGACGCCAAGTTGGTCAAGGGATGCCGATTGATCGACGATGTGAGTGTCTTCATTAGATATAAAAATAGGAACATTCGGGAGCGTAGAAGAGAAGTACTATTGTTGAAACGATTTTTGTCGCAATGCTATGATCGACATTTAACCTTGAAAAAAACAAGCAAGGGTAACGACTGGCCATATTTGGGCTGCTACTTGGTTGTTGGGAGAGAACCGACGAGGGTATAATGTCAAGCGCTGCATAAAAATCAGGCCAACCTTCTGCAAGACGGCTGTATTATTTTTCAGAACCTTCAAGATTTCAGGTCATATAGCAGCCGACGACAAAAAATGATGGTCATCACGACCTTCCTGCATCGGGCACATGAGATGGGCACCTTGCCAGCGGGAGAATTGCCCTTTCTTTTATCAATAAAAATGGAACTCCGCCGTCGCAAGTTCCCCGACTGCTTTTTTGACAAGACCCTGCAGAATTTCAATTTTAAAATTGTGGGGGTTTGGGACCCTTGGGTCAAGTGCCTTACCGGATGGGTTCAGTGATTGCGTGGACAAGCCAGAATGGGACCCTCCTTATTTGTCGTAGTTCTCTAGGGAATCTTTTGAAATACCTTCAGATAGTACTTTGGCAGGAATGTTTTTTTCATCAGAAGTTGCTAGAAGCTCATGTCTTACTATATTGGAAGTAGTTTTTCTATTCTTTCTTCACCGTGCGCTTTCACCCCTGAGGATGACCGACACTGGCGAGTCGGTCGAAACACGTGTCGGGAGTCATCGCCAGCGTGCTCATTGTCTACGGCGTTCTGCGCCAACTTTATGTGTGCTTCATTCGTATCTTACGCGCTTTAATTGCGCTCGCGGGATATTCTTCATCTTATCTGGTCTTCTTTCGTCTTGTCTTTCATGCATGTTACAGACCCAGGTCTGTCTGCTTGTGTTGCTCTGATGATCTATCACTTCATGGTAACTTAGACGAAAAGAATCAGAGGAGACAGAAAATGAGAATCATTTGGACATGTATAGGTAGATAAGGTCATTCGGGATAGAACGGGTCAATCCTAGGGGAAAGACTAAGTCCATTTGACCTCATCTCCTTTATTTCAATCGTATTCATTTTACGACATGCATTGAATTAACCTTTTTCAGAACAACAAGTCCTTATTGACGTCCAAGAAGGTGAGAAGTAAAGGGAAGACAATCATTTTCCATTCTCTCAAATAGGCATAATCAATCTCCTTTGCAAGCATCCTCCTACCTACCTGCACACCAAGCAAAGAAAACAAGTTCAAAAGAAGACAGTACCATCCCAAACTCAAGTCAGACTTTCATTCACATGCATGACTCACATAACTTTCTCTACCTTTTCTTTCGAACGTTCAAAATAACAAGGTTAAGCAAAGTGTGGGTTCACACAAGTGTGAACGAGAGCCTGAGTCATTCAACCGACCTTGAGTGAAGTTTGATCCGGCCCACTCAAGAAAGTCGGGTAATATTCCAATCCGAAGAAAATAACCGCCGTAGAAAAATATGCGGCACACAACTCATAAGTTGTGGCCTTTCTCCTAAATGACGGTGCGCGTCCTTCTCCAAGTGCCCGATCACACTAAGGCCGGGTTCATTGAGAGAATTCAAATGGGATAACCCTCCAGGAGGGTGCTCCCATGCTCCCATCAATCCAAACCCACGTCGCCTCAACATCCTATACAGTCCCAATGCAGTCCCAACCGCACCACGTACTTCCAAGGACACTTCCCCAACCAACAACAAGTCCATACCACCTCGAATCATCCTGTCCGCTCACAATAACCATATGAATATGTCGGTCTCGATCTTAACAACCAGTCCCACCTAGTCCGAAAATGGTCCCAGATGGTCCCAATGCAGTGTCACACCATCGCCCGCAACACCAGATGGTCCAGAACTCAAAACCGCTTGCACTGTGCGCCGCAAAAAAAAAAAAGGTGGCCCCGACCGAAAACTGCATGTGCCGCGAGCCTCACAAAAAATAACGATGTCCTTCCGGTTGTCCTTCCCGTGCAAACCGCAAATGCGGCGGCTCCCATAACCATTGCCGTGAGTACTCACTCCATGCTTTCTTCATGCTGCTGGCTCATGCACCACTGTCACACAATCCCAACCGTGCACCAGGGCCAGCCCAACCTCTGGACCACACTGAGATCCACCATAACTGCCGCACACCACAAAAATAACGGTGGACCACTGCTAGCTGCGCCATCAAAACTAGTACCATGACTACCCCATAACACCACCGCCAGATTACACACAAAAAACTGCCTCCACTGTGACGCAAAAGACCCGCAACATCTTCCCTCACAATAGTGTTGCCGACGTGTCGCCATCATAACCCCCAAAAAAATAATATATATACCACCGCCAATCTCGGCAGCATGGTCCCACCGAAAAATGTTACTGTCA